AAAAATAATTTATTTTCAGATGGCATGTTTCAAATATTTAATATTTAATGTGCGAAAATAATATCACTTGTGGTAATACTATTCTTGAAGTTATATCAACATTTTTGATGAGGCAAAACAATTTTCATGTGAGGAAATGTTGAAAATTCTGGCAACATGTTTCTCAATTATCTAATTTTTGAGCCTGAAGAATAAACACTAATAATGGAAATGTTCACATTTATCCACATCATTTTCAAAATAATTACTTTACCGTCTTGGCTGTAATATAAAAATAAAAAAGTAACATTTCCAACTCTTTTACATCAAACATTCGAGGAACAGATGTGTTATTTTCTGGCAACATCTCGTGGAAACGGTATTTAGATAGAATGTTATGTGAGGATCCTTGGATTAAGAACTAAAGTGCTTCCAGGTTAGAAATTACTGTTACGTCAATGTAACACACACGTTGTATCCCAGAGAGAGCTCAGGGGTCTTGGGATAAAAAGAAAATATCTAATTGCGGCTACTGAAGTAGTAATGAATGGATGGGACAGACGCATCGATGATGTATTTTGCACTAGCTCATTTCTTTACAGGGTTCGCCATATGAGTTTTTTTTTTATTTTTCCACTACCAATGAGTGATTTTTTCAAATGATGATTTTTGTTGATGCATGGAAAAAGGCAGTGCTTGGAATCATCCTTATCATAAATATAAACTTTATTTATAGAAAGTTAATTCTTCAGCATTCCAATGACCAATTAATTTTAATAGTTTTTTGAGCTCCTACTTATACCAGCACATAAGTAACACATTTTTTATCATCTCGGGGTTTCAGTAAGTTCACAGGATAAGCAGACGGGTCATGACTAATATAGCATGTCATTGTAGTAGACCGGTGGTGGACAGATTTTGCGATAGCAGATAATTTCAGAAGACTACATAAACTTTTGGTCAGTTTACCATATGGTGATTTGAGTTTCTAAGTTTTTTAAACTCGATGATGTGTATCTTGTGGTTGGAAAAGTTGCACAAATATTTTAACGGAAAGCAGCGCTACATGAGAAATATTGCTTTAGATGTGACCTATCAATCATTTTTCCTTGCGGAAACCTTGAATGCAACAAAAATGAGCTTAATGAAAAACTTTCAAGTTCATGTGGTTTTTAAGTTACAAACTATCAACATGTAATTAACTGTGTGTTTATAATCCACCATGAACAAGTGGTTAACCAATCAAATAAGATGCTTGTAAATATGTTAATGTTGATAGCAGTACGCTCTGAAGAAGGCCACAATACGCTGGCCGATACGTAAGCCACCATGACATTGACGCGGCTCGCCCCGGAGAGCCTAGCCAACAGACTCCGGCCGCAGACGCCTACGCAACCAAATTCTGAAATGATTTTTAGTTGAATTTTGAAGTTTATCAGGGAAGTATGTAAATGTTTATTTATATCTTTAATCATTTCCGAGTCTACATATTGCAAAATAATTCGTTTAAATAATTGCCTAATGTGATTAATAGTTCATTATGCTTTAGTTATTTGAGAGAAGAGATAGCATTATTTGTTTCAGAATCATGTAGACGTTATGTGAAATAGAGAGAATCCAAAAGAGGCCCCACCAAAGAGCAATCGCAGAAACATACACTTCCGGCTTCCGATTGTCCAAAAATTAAACATCGTTCTTTTGCAAAGTAGAACGATTCGCCTAAAACATTTACTCCTCAAAACTCAATTATCGAACGCGTTCGTCGTAAACTACTAATATCTCCTCATTTTGCAACTTTTAACAAAATTTACTTCAGAATTTCGTGCCGAAAAATTATATAACGCCTTTCTGCATTGTATTAGATATTGCATCAGTCAATTTTTCTGTCACGTTCATTATCGTAATCCACAAATATATCCTCACTTTACAACTTCTTACAAATTTTACATCAGGAATTTGCAGGAGAACAAATTATAGAATACCTTTCTCCACGGTAATATATATTGCATCATTCCATTTTTCTCAAAATGGCATCCAGAGATCAACGTGATCATGTATGCAACAAACAAAATGTCCGTATATCCCACGCGTTTTTTTTTGTTATGTAAGGTGGCATGAACTTCTAGGTCATTAGCGACCACTATTACTTATAACGGTATGGTAACTGTGAGGATGACATGATATGATGACGGTAGAGGGTGAAAGGACGAATACACTACAACCATGCCCGAGGCGGGACTCGATCCCGCGATCCATCTCTTAGGCAGTAGTGCCGTAGCGATCTCGGCCACCGGATCGACAACGTTTCCCAGTTAAAAACGGTTAATTCAATATAATTATCGATATAAAAATAAAACAAAACCCAAACTCAGAAGAATGACGCACACTTTATTCTCCAAACACTAAACTTCACTTCAGGCGCACTTTTGCACACTACTACGCCGCCTAATCAATGCGGTGGCCGTGTGAAAGGCCCAAAGCAGCGGCCTTTGAGGCGGACAGTGGGCTTCCGGGGAAAAGATGCGCACTGACGGCGGTCGTTAGCGCTGTGGGGGCTGCGCTCGCGCGCCCGCGCATCTGGACCAGCCTGCGATTGTCACCTCCCATTCATCAACGTCTATGTTAATCGACGCGTATTGAACTGGTCGGTGGCGTCCTAATGACTGCCAACAGCGCGAGACGCTTCGGTCTTGCAAACGACGCGACGCGGTGGTCAGTTTTGTAAAGACTTGGTGGCATTTTTGTAATTAATCGACTGGAAGGTTTTTTGGATGAAAATTAAGTGAATCATCACTCAGTCATCAACATATTCTTTACAATGTTAGTATTTCTTTTATTTAATCGAGCGCCTTTTAGGATAAATATATTATGAATGATAATGAATCATTGCCCTTGAGTAGTGCCTAAAGTCAAGCTTTCGGGAACACTTTCGCTCTTCAGTATGCATATAGCAATGCAAAAGGAAATATATGAAACAATGAAGTACGAGATCGCAAAACGAAATATAAATTGATCATAAAACAAATATAAATGGAAAAGTCTTCAAAAAATTTACTTATTTTTCCTTTCTTTAGAATATTATTTCTTACATTTTCTTTTGCATTTTTATAGACCCACTGAAGATGGAAAAAATGTTTCCGAAAGTTGAGTTTAGGTAATCATGTTTTAATAAACATTAAACTATTATTGTTGTAGTTTGATTATTTCCCAATTCATATCGTGGAGTATACGAAGATATATACTACCACTAAAGAATTTATTTTTATTGAGTTGTAATAAATTATTAGCATCAACTATATAATCTAAAAAATATTTGTATCTGTGTCAAATGTCAGCATATTTTGAAAACCTTCACGTGTTATGAACGTATTCATTGAAATTTTACAAGTATATTTATTTTACAACACCATTTATTTGTAATTTCTTTTGAAATACAATAGCTAATTGAAAGTAGTGGATAATACACTATTGCATTCAGAGGTAAAAATACATGATCATTTTTGTTCAATATTGATCTACATGTAAATACATTATTTGTGTTTAAGAAGTGCTTGTACAATGTTCGAAAACATGAACATCTTTTCAATGAAATTCAACAAAAATGAGGTAAATCGAGCTTTGAAATTATAATTACAATGATAAATGGAGAAAGAAGTTCTCTTAAAGTCACTAAAAAATTAAAACTTGCTCATTACATATTTTATGCCTTTTTATACGAGACTTATATGGGTTGTTCGTAGACATGATCATTGCTTTTAGTGCAACATCTCATTATTATCATATTATCGAGGACACAGCGCTCAAAAGTTGAGTAAAACGACTTCAGCTGTTTCACTTACAATATTTAATAGACAAACTAATACTTCTTTTTCATAGACTCAAATAGAAGGCTGGAGCAGCAAAAACTACTGCTGGTGAACAAAATCAAATGAAATGGTTTTCTAAAATGCATGGCGCACACTGATCAAAAACAAATAAAATATTATCTTAGAGCACTGCCATAAAATAAATATTTAACATAGTCTTGACATCAAAAACATTTTATAGTGTATGCACAGTATAATAGTTTCTAAGTAGTCACGAACCGAGTATGAAAGTTTAGTCTGTCTGAGAATATGCGGAATAAGACAATCAAATATTGGAATCTTTTAGTCAAAATTAAAAATATTTTTTGTATACAATGTTTTGTACTTTCCATGAGTTGTTTGGTATCAATAAAAATCACAGATATTTTTCGACTGAAGGCTGAGTGGTTTTTCTTTTAATTACTGCGAGAATTAGAAATTTAAAATGCGGGTAACAACACAAGTGATCAATGAAAAATTATTTCGCGTTCTTAGTATTTATATATTTAATTTCCCTTTCATCTTTCAACACATTTCGTAGTTTTGAATTAGTACCTGTTGTAAATTAAGCTTTTCTTATATTCACTGTTGACAAGCAGCGTTCAAGACAGATAAATTGCTTTCACATTGTTCACACGCGCAGGCTGTGAATTATCAAATTTAATGCCATTTCAAATTCATTTTCAAAGTTGTATAAATCAGTGGATCATCAGTATAAATGAATACATGAATATGTAAAGCGTAACTCCCAGAGTGTGCACAGCTATCAATGATTCACGTACGTTTGTGTCGTATAATTATTTAATTAAAAACTCTTTCCGTCATAAATTTGGTTACAGTTCTCATTACATTTGTTTGGACAAGACGACTTGAACATTCAAACGGTTTAACGCAAAATCTTAATTTATATGATTTTTTATATCAGAAATGTTTTCAATTCATTATTATTTTCAACACAACAGTTTTCAATAATTTCTATATTTTTATTCATCGTTAACACTTTCACTTATATTTAATATCTTTCAATGGCATGAACCACTCTTCAAACGTTCTCCGATATAGAACACTATTTTACTTCAAAAAGTATCGCAGAAACATTTTCCGTCGAACATGATTTAACACTCCACCAAAAACCTCCAGATGGCGAAAAACACTTAGCTGAGATACAAAACTCACCAGAAGTAAAGTGACATCGTTTCAGTGGCCCTCCGCAGTTCGGGCCGATGCGAACGCTCGGAAAAATCTCCAGCGACAACAGTCCTCCACCGGTAAAGTTGCGGCGGCCACTTCTGGCTGAGTTGGAGCGAAGACGTAAGCACTTTTGAGGCAGGGCAGGGCAGGGCGGGACGCGAACAAGCGGTCGAAAGATCGCCTTTACGGGAAGAGTTTCGCCTCGACGCAAGGGAACATAGGGGGCGCGGCGAGCGGCCGCCAGTGGAGTTCGTTAGTTGAGCTGCGAGCGGTGGCTGCGGCGGCGGCGGCGGCGTCGTCTCGCGATGCAAACAGCCTGTCTGAGGGGTCGGCCTCGACCCGCGCGGCTCGGGGCCACTTCGCGAACACACCGCTCTCTCCAGGGGATGAGCTTGCACACGCACGCACGCACGCACACTACCCACAGGGGGCCCCGCTGTACACAGGCCGCTAGGGCGCGCTGTCACGTAGATTAGAACACGCGACGCCCGCCAATGTCAAACGTGAATGTGATTGAGAGAGAGTAGCTAGGGGCGAGGTTTAATTTTGGCTTTGTATTTCAGCGTAACATTCACTAGTTTATAGACACAAAATGTATACGGGTTTCTCAATTCGTTCACAAGTTGTTTTTTTTTTAAAAAAAGTACACTAAATATTTTTGTGTGGGGATTTATACACTGTTTACACACAGTCAGGGGTGCTTTTCAAAATATGTCATCGAGTCCTGCAAGGGGAAACACTTTTCTCCTAGTATTTGCTTGCGATTTTGTTCGCGAGCACTAGTTTGCCACGTCTCTTTTCGCACTTTGTCGGGCCTCGTCGGCGCAAAAACAGCATTAAAATTTCACGAAGGGAGTCTCAGTTCGGCGCTGCGGGCGGGTGGCTGCTGGACCGCGGCGGAGCGGACGCGAGGGCTGGCAGGGACGTCGGGCGGCGCGCAGGTCGCGGCCCCGGCGTCGAGGCGAGAAAAGTTGCTGAAATTTATCGACGACGACGGCGTAGGCGGCGACGGCGGCGACGGTGCGCCGAAGACGCAAGCGACGGCGCCGCCGAGTCGGCGCGCCCCTCGGGGGTCGCGACCCCCTATCGACGGCGCGCGGCGGCGAGGGGCACGGCGCGACCCGCCAGGGCGTGGCCCATGTGCCCTACGCCGGCGTTGGAGGAGATCGGGCGCACTCGCGAAGGGCGATGTGGGCGGTGGGGCGCGGGAGGCGCGGTCGCGGCGGCGGCGCGGCGGCAGCGGGCGACGGCGGGTAGCGGGCGAGCGGGCGGGCGAGCCAGGCGCGCGCACAGCCGCTGGGGCAGAGCGATACTGCGGCGCGCCGCGCGACGACGGCCCGCGCCGCCGCCGCCGCCGCTGCCACGCCCCCTCCCGCGAGCGCCGCCGAGGCTGGACGAGGGCGGACGAACGCGCTGCCGCCCCCGCCGCCCGGCCCAGACCTAGTTACGGCCCCGCGGTAGGCGGCGGAGGAAGGCACCGGCTCCTCCGGGGGGCTTCGTGGCGGTACAGCGCCCCAGCTGACTGAGATTGCATCTCGCGCGAGAGCTATTTATTGGAGGGCGGGGCCGCGCCGTGTGGGAGATTATGGACGTGCCGAGGCTTGGGGGTGGACTGTGAAGGAAGGCCGTGCGTGATGGATCGGGTATTTGAAGTTTTGTTGTCCGTTTGGGGCAGAAGTCGCGCCGAAAGTTTGGCGTGACAGTGACCTCGGTCAATAAAACCAAGGAGTCAAATGTATTTTACCTTTACGATGTGTTGTGACATTACGAACAAGACGTACCATTCTGTATATATCTTGTGGGGAGTGTATTTATTTGTTGATAATTCTAGAATAATTTTTTAAAATTATGAAGTTCACAGAAATATTTTGTTTTTACGATATATAAATATTGTTGATATGAATTGGAATTAGAATATACCTCAACATTCATGAAGGAACGATTCATTTGTCTGTATTATTAGCTACATCTTTTAATCAACGTGTTTAATCCTTAATCTTCTCAAAATTTTGTAACACTTTTCTTTCATTAGTTCGATTTTAGTTGCTGTGGGGAGGAGAATTTTAGTTGCCAGCTGCTCTGACGGGTAGTTTTTCATGGTTTCTTCCATCCACCAAGAAATCCCGGAACCCTAACAAACGAGTCACTGACCGCGCGCGTTCTTTCCTTCCCCTTCCTTGACCCATCTTTTCTTCTTACTTACACACATACTTACATGCACTACATTACCACCCACACAGGAATACCTGCCGGAGCTTCAAGCATGTCTCGGCTAGGATGAAGTCCTGACAGTGGGAGATATCTTGTTGGAAAAAACCCGCTAGCCAACGTAGGTTGGCGCTGGATCTCATCATTCACTGGAGGAAGATCACTGCCACCTCCCGAGGAAAAAACATACACAACACTTACGGGAGAAATGTTCTTATCAGTTGACTCGTCCAGACATTTTGATCAATTAATCAAAAAAGTTCTTGTTCACTATAATCACTTGATATTCACATACATTGATCAAGCTTATACTTTTAATAATGAAATTAACTGTCCACTTGTTGAAACCACGTCATTTACAAATTTAACGATAAAACAAGGCAATATTTCTCTTGTGCAATGCATACAAAATACGTTAGGCATGGAGACGTTTTATACGTTTCTAGTGGCCAGGTGACACGTTGACTTGGAAGAATTGTTTATAATTTGTTTTTCTATCCATTTTTGGATTTGACAACCATAAATTGTTAAGTATACTATACCAAATATGCCCAGGCCATTCAATTAGGAAATCCACCGTACAAGTAAAGTTGATCAATTAATTCCGTGGTGGTAGCAGATATTTTGTGGTAATCCATAATATGAAAAAGTAAATAAAGTACTTTATTGTGGGCGATTAGTTTCTTTCTCACATTAGTAGATCAAGTATTTAAGTCCAGAGAAATGCGGGGAATTTGAGTTAACCATTTATGGTATAAAATTGTATTAATACAAACTATCCAAAGAAAGTTAACAACTGGTATGAAAAGATAGATAACTTCTTACACCAAAACCTCTGCGCGCATTCTTATTATTCACGAAGAAAAATACTGTTTGAGCTTTGCTAATAACGTCAGGTATTCACAAGATTTGAATCCAGAAGAATCATGGGATGATAAACTACAGGTTTTGTCCTTTCCATTTTAAGAAAACCATAATTGTCTTAATCGGAGTAATAAAAAAATCTGAATACAAGTTTGTTTACATGCACAAAGAAAATCACGAAACATTTGCTTGTTAACTGTTTACATGCAATGTTTTCATGAATAGAATTTGCATTTTTTAAGGTCGTTAATATGACACTGGCCATACATGCGATGTCTTTGATGTCAAAATCAAATTACCTATCGAAGGAGAAAACATTATATTGTTGACTTAAACACATGCATCTCATGGAATGGGAATATATGCTTACGAGTAAAAGAACGAAGATGTACTTTGGCACAATACGTTCCCAACTATACATTAGTTACACGACAAATAAAACGATTGCAGCATTTGCAAACGTTTACACCGTCTAATTATGTACAGAGTGGACACCTTGTATCTCCTCGCCGTGCAAGATACTGGTAGGACAGTCGATTGCATAAACAGGGTCTACTTCATTACAGCATACTTCATGTTTGCACTATTTTCTTACTACGAAAATATAAGACAAAAGTGTGTTTTTTTAAGAAACCCTTTACTATATTTTTGCGTGTCGTAATGGGCTTAATGAAACGATTTCAAATATGTGTACATTTTTGTATTTAAGCGAATCGGTTTTTTAGAAATTGATGTGTTTTTGTAACGTATGTTTCCTCTGAAGCGGAGATTATCCATTCGATCATTTCTGCTAACTAAACAGGGAACTTCGCGAGTATGTCCTTCGTACAAACGCGCTCAATTATTTCAGCACAGTAACAAGTATTTTCTTCAGTACTAATTTTTCCTAAAGATGACTTTGTCCAAGGAAAAGAAAAACAGAACTCTTCGGTACGTCACATACAGCTCGTGGGTGATAAAAGAGTTACGTAGTAAGAATGAATAGATTTTACAGAGAAATTACAGATTCAATCGATCGATCGATAACTCAACTAAATATTATTTTTACACATTTTAAACTAACAAACAACACGAAATATTTTATAGTTAATTAAACTACTATTACAAATTATTCGTTTGTATTTAATCTTTTTAAGTTTAATTTATATACTTATTATTATTACATTAATTTATATACTTATATATTATATGCTTAAAATTAATTTAAGTTTTATCAAATAATTAATTAAAACTGCAACGGTCAAACCCAAGCAATGACTGTCCATAAGATTAGTAGTACTTAATATCATTGCTTTTCGGCAAACAAATGAAAGCTGAATATCAAGTAATTCGGAGCCCTCTCAGCAGTTCACTTACAACTGAGAATTGGAAGCTTTGCAACTCGGGCTTGTTCGATCGGGTTTGATCTCTGACGTACACGGGTTCCCAGCCCGAGGGCGGGCGACGAGGGGGGGAGAGGTCCCGATTTGGCGCCGAGGACAGAGGTTCGTGCCCCGAAACGGAACTGAGGGCTTCGGCGAACGGAGTTCACGCCGCGCCACCGAACCGAGGTGGCGGGGGCGGAGGGGGAGGAAACGGGGTTAGAGCTGCGGGGGCCAAACAGATCCCGAGGAGTCGAGCGGAGAGGAAGAGGCGGCGTCACAGAAACGAAGCGGATTTCAGCTCAAGGTCGACGGAGGCCGACGAGGGGGGGGCGGCGGTGGAGACGGTGACAGCCGGTGAGCACAAGGTCGTGGCGGAAGAAGCAGTGGAGGCACGTAGCAAAGAGAGGGCGTATCGGTGTGGCTGCGAACCAGACGGGCGGGGAAGAGGGAGTGGCGCGGGATTGCCAAAGGAGTTGCGAGATCTTTTTCCACCACCACTAGATTAAATTTCTTAGATTTATTAAGTCAAAAAACAGTAAAAACTGTATGTGACGTATGGGGGAAAAGATCATCTGTGCAAGTTTTCGTGTGTTCCAGAATCCCTTCCCGTCATTTTAACTATAAATAGTTGAAAGATGAGTAAAAGTATAAAATAAATAAATAAAAATAAATTTTTAAAAAGCGCGAGATTAGCAATATTTGAAACAATAGACATTTTCTTTCCCGAGTTACAGAAAACGTATTTGCATCGGTAAACGAATTGCAAGTATGATTTTCCTGCATTGCTAACAAAATAGTAACTCGCCCTTGCCTCTACTCTTACCATTACAAGCAAAAGGAAATTTCAACAAAATGTGCGCATACTGAAGCAACATTTAATACGGAATTACCCCAAATAACCTCTCTAGTGAAACCAAATTCTCCAACTTTGAAACGAAAATATGTCTCTAAATTATGGACCAATGACATGGGATGTCTCTGGTGATTGTACGAATGTCTCCCTACATTCCAATAATTCAAATCAACCAATAATCGACTTTAAGCTGCTCGAAGCCCTATACTATCTTCATTTTCGCATGGTTTTTTTCTTCTCTAGGCCTGTCATTTAGTTTTCTATAACGTCTACTGCTTCTTTTTTATTCATAATCATTGAGAAAATAATATTTTTATCTCGACTCCGGATAGAAATAATTTCCCCCAATAATCTCCCAACATTTCCTCCTTCTCACGTTCCCCATTCTTTCTCCACAACGAGGAAAATTCACATATTTGGGACACAATGCCCCAATCGGGTAAACCTGTGCTTAAGGAAACGTGAAGGACATGACGAAGACGTCGAGATGTAATTGTGGCAAGGATGCAGAGCTGCGTTATAAACAACTGCTTGCTTGACGGCATTAAGACGTGCCAGCTACTAAGACACGAGGCTGAGTGGTGAGTAGACAAGTTGTAGCTAGAGAAGTGAGAAAGATGTTTCGTGGTAATTTTGGTCTGTTCTGTCACACATAATATTGAGAATTATGTCCATGGTCACTACTAGGGATATGACATTAATGTCGATGTTTTCAAAAC